GTTTTTACTGTTAAGCAAAGTAAAATTCAAAGGGGAGAAAAATCAATTGTCTAAACTTCCTTTCTTGGATATCCTTGTTTTGACCAACTCCAAGCTCATTCACTTTCCAACTTATCACAATCTGTGAAAGAAACTAAACAGAAGGCCAAGAGCACAGTCAAATTCCTTTGAAAACTATTCAGTTTCCCTCAAAGAACACTATCCCCAAACACTTACTTTTAATATTTTCAGTCTTCATTTCCCATGACATACACTGAGTTTTGAAATTTCTAAAGTTCCTGTTAAACTTGACCTATTTCTGAAATTTATTTTTTTATTTTTTAATTTTAATTTAATTTTTTTTTGAGGAAGGTTAGCCCTGAGCTAACATCTGCTGCCAATCCTCCTCTTTCTGCTGAGGAAGACCAGCCCTGAGCTAACATCCATGCCCATCTTCCTCTACTTTATATGTGGGATGCCTACCACAGCATGGCATGCTAAGTGGTGCCATGTCCGCACCCGGGATCCAAACCAGCGAACCCCAGGCCGCCAAAGTGGAATGTATGACCTTAACTGCTGTGCCACCAGGCCGGCCCAGTATTGTGCCCCATCTGAGGATCAAACTTTCTGAAATTTAAAAAGTTGATTTTACAGTCAACAGACTCTCTAGAAAAATGCCAACATGAATATTGACATTTCAGAGAGCTCCCAACATAAAGTTACTTCCATCCATTTTAGTTGAATCTCAAGCAATCAGAGCTCTGTATCCAAAGGTTTACTTGCCCAAATTAATGTATAAAGTGAGAGAGAAACCAGGACAGTAAATAGTGCCTTTCATTTGTCCATGATGTTTATAAAGTTTTAGGTTTGGACATTGTAGCTACAAATCTCAAGATATCCTGTAGACCCAGGAATTCTATCTATAATTAAATCAAGTTAGAAACACTTAATAGAGACTTTCCCAACCTATTAATACCCACAAAACTTGGAAACTCACAACCACACTAAAGCCAGAATTTGATAGGTAGTCATTTCTTAGAATCTAGTAAAAATTTTCAGGATGATAAGGCAGATGGATAGAGCCAAACAAATGTCAGTAAGTGGTTTACCTCATGTACCAGCCCTGCTTTTTTTTGAAAGAAAGCAAAACTTTCCTTCCCTCTCCCGTGTGTACTTTCTGTAGACATCAGACATCAGAAAGGCTGTCTGTCTTCTGGCTGGGGGCCATACCTTGGAGTAGCCAAAGTGTTATTCCCTGTGCCTTTACCCACAGAAGCCTTATGTACCCATTTGGAGCTTAGAACCCCGAGAAAGCATCAGGGCAGGCAGTAGACAGGGACCGGTGAGGCTTGTGACATATCAAGAAGTTTCAGTAAATGATGGGAGAACTTAGAAAGGAGAGTAATAAGATTTTCCCTTGACAGCCAGATTGTTAATTCAGTGGATAACTAAATGGAGAAAACTTAATTGAAGGCATCAGCATGGATCTCTATTCAGCAGTCCTCACTCTAATCGGATTGAACATGTAGGCAACTACAGAAGGAAACTCCCTCAGAAGAGGGCCTGCATCAGCCATGTAGAAAGAAGAGAGACCAGGTGATCACCAAGATGATGAGAAGCTAACCATTGTCCAGCAAAGAGAGGTTCACACCCAACAGACCTGGAGCATTTGGTTTGTGGTGGCAAAGATATCTCTAATATGAAGATGAATGTGGACATGGTGAAACATTGGTTATGGACTCTGAGCATTCCAGTGTCATCTGAGACCATCCCAGCCTTAAGAGGAAAGCATCCAGCTATCGTGTCTTAAAGCCATGGAAAATTTCTTTTATTTAATTCCCTTTGTTCATTGCTACCCTCAATAGTCAACCTTTGGATTATCTGGCCTCCTGCATAAGACTGCCTACAGGGAGTATATACGAATCCCTTGGGCTTCAGGATTTTCTCCCCGTGTAGCGATTTCTCATTGAAAGTCAGATTTGGGGCTCTGATCATGGCTTGGCTTTCAGGTAGCTGCTCCAGGGAAAGTCTGCTACTGATTTTGACTTTATTCTGCTTCTTGAGGTGTTCTTGTAAATTATTAATCTAGCCTGTTTATTTTATACTTCGATCCCATTCATTAGCTTTATTAACGTGAAATGCCCATTCTCAGGGAGCTGATAAAATAAGCACAAAAAAGAGGCTAAGGACCAGTGATGGGGAAGAGTGCCCCCAAGTGAGGCCTCTTTGGGGAAGACTTTGTGTCCCCGTGTCACATCCTGCCATCACCACTGGCCTAGGAGCATGTCCACAGCCAGACATACCTCTCTGTAGGAAGGGACAGAGAAAGAAAGAGCCCAGGGAGCAGCATGGCTCGGAGTATCATTCCCTCTCACCCTTCATCAGTTTGGATCATTAGAGAATAAGGCGCTGGGATAGAAGAAGCTCCTAACTCACAGAGTGGTGAAGTCGGGAAGCCTCCAAGTGGTAGAGAAGCCTCAAGGCTATGGCACAGGTGTGCAGCTGCACGTTGATAAAAATATTACATAATGAGAATACAGAGCATCTGCTCAGAGTGAGTTATTGTTAGAAGATAAAAAACAACATCCCATAATTGATAAAAAGGCACATATGCTTCAACAGAGACACAGAGGGGAAAGGCTAAGCATGCCTTCAATACCAATGTGAGTCTTCTGGTAGATGGGAGAAGACCTGAAGAGACAGGGAGAAAGATGGGAGGGAAGGGGCAGAGGCAACACAGGCCTTGACTTGGAAGGGACACACCTATCTCCAAACACAGGAGGTCACATTACCTAGGCTCCCAGAGCCTCACCACCCTTACCCACCTACCTCAGCTGAGGGGGTTGACCCTCAGAGGCAGCAGAGGAGGCCCCCTCTCAAGTCACCACAAAAGAAGGAAACCAGATCTGTCTGGTTGAATAGTCCTAGCAGAATTTCCCCTAAATCTCCAGACACCACGCCCCCCCCCCCCCCCCCCCGCCATCGGGCATTCCTACCATCAAAAGACTCTCCAATATACAGCTCTTCCTTGACTAACGATGGGGTCACATCTGGATAAATGCATCATAAGTTGAAAATATCCTAAGTTGAAAATGCATTTAATATACCTAACCTACTGAACATCCCTTAGCCCAGCCTACCTTAAATGTGCTCAGAACACTTACATTAGCCTAAGTTGGGCAAAATCATCAAACACAAAGCCTATTTTATAATAAAGGGTTAGATATCTCATGTAATTTACTTGTACTGAAAGCAGAAAACAGAATTGTTTTATGGGTACAGAATGGTTGTCTCCATTGCTTACCCTCCTAGTCGCTGATTGGGAGCTGCGGCTCACTATTGCTGTGCAGCATCAGGAGAGTATCCTACTACATATCATGGCCCGGGCAAAGATCAAAAATCGAAATTCAAAGTACAGTTTCTAATAGATGCATATTGGTTTTGCATCATCCTAAAATGGAAAAATTATAAGTCCAACCATGATAAATCGGGGACCATCTGTAGTTTAATCTAGAAGATGCATCTTGAGAGTTTCTGTGAGACAGGGAGATGGTGGTTTCTTCCCCATGGTTAGGAGGGCTTGGCCACACCAGAGCATGAAGAAGAGACAGCATGTCCACAGGTATCTAAAGGACCAGGGCTTGCACCAGAGCGGGGAGAAAATGATTCAGAAATAAAGGCTGAGGAGACAGGGTAACACCCTACCAAGACACGTGATGAGAAGTTCTGTGGTGAGATATTTTCATCCTACAGCTGAAAAGGAGTCTATTGTGCTTTATGTCCTGGACTTAGTTATGTACTGTGTAGTGGAGTGAGTGTTTTCACCAGAACACCTCCAGGACCTGTGCTGCATTCGTTCATCCAAGACTCTTTCCATAAACCTGAGACAAAGAGTGAAGTTATAAATACAGTCTCTATATACCCTTATATGATAAAATTTGACATTTAAGAATCCAGGACTGAGAGGAGCCTCAAAGGGCAGGTTCTATACATGGGGAGAGGAAGAGAGAACTGCCTTCCATATGACAGCCAAGCAGAGGGACTTGGGAGCATTGAAATGTTCAATGGGAATTTTTTTTTTTTAAGATTTTATTTTTTTCCTTTTTCTCCCCAAAGCCCCCCGGTACATAGTTGTATATTCTTAGTTGTGGGTCCTTCTAGTTGTGGCATGTGGGATGCCACCTCAGCGTGGCTCGATGAGCGGTGCCATGTCCGCTCCCAGGATTCGAACCGACGAAACACTGGGCCGCCTGCAGCGGAGTGCGCGGACTTAACCACTCAGCCATGGGGCCGGCCCCTCAATGGGAATTTTTAAATGGAATTCTGAGAATTATACAAAATGACCCCTCCGTAGCTTCAAATCTTTAGCAGAGGAGACAAACATCTTAAGGGGTTTGCTGTGGAAATGAATGAAATGGCTGAATTGGAAGGCATGGAAAAGAGAACCACTGACATCTGAGTTATACATTCATTCGTGCAAACCAATGCTTAACGAACACCTCCTGCAGGCTGGGGCATCAGACCTGCTGAGAGCCTCCAGCAGCTCCCGCTGCTGTACGAGGGAGTCTTCGCTCCTTCCTCTAAGGGCCTCAGAACGCCAGCCTCAATTTCCCTCTTGATACCTCAAATCTGGAGAACCTAATGTGGGAGGGATGGCACCCCAGTGGAAGCCCCGCTCTGTGATGATCCTCCCCATCCCACAGGTGACAGGCTTATTCGCCATGACCACAAGTTATTTCCCATTTCTACCTACACCCTCCACATCTCTATAGCCCTCTGTACTCCTTTGCTGATAAAATATAGGTTGGAGGAAAATAGAGCAAACTAAGACCCCCACCCCAGTACCACCAGACTGAGGCCAGGGAAGGGAAAAGAAGTGACAACCCTGAGAAGGTGAACCAACCTCATAAAGCAGTACATCTGTATGTGGATTTAAAGTATGTTGGTTTATGGACAAAACCCATGACCTTCCTAGTGCAAATGCTATAGAGATATACAGTGGGTATGTACATTATTTAGGAGAAACCTTGGTATATTAGTTTCAATGGCTGCTGTAACAACACAAACTTAGCAGCTTGAAAAAGAACGCATATTTATTATGTCAAAGTTCTGGAGATCAGAAGTATGAGTTGGCTTTGCTGGGTTCTCTGCTCTGGGTTTCCTAAGGCAGAAATCAAGGTGTCGGCCGGTGGGCTCTTGTTGGGAGGCTCTGGGAAGAATCCACTTCCAAACTCATTCAGAGTTTTGGAAAATCCAGTTCCTTGCAGCTGTAGGACCGAGGGTTTGTTTCCTTGCTGGCTGTCATCTGGGGCTGCTGATAGCTCCTAGAGGCCGCTCTCAGGTCCTTGTACGCAACCCTACATCTCAAAGTCAGCAACGGTGTGTTGAATCCTTCTCATGCTTGGAATCTCTCTGATTGCCTCTTCTGCCATATCTCTCTGACTTCAGCCCGAGAAAGTTCTCTGTTTCTAAGGATTCATGTGACCAGATTGGGCCTACCTGGATAATCTAGGATCCTCTCTCTATCTTAAGATTCATAACCTTAATTATACTTGCGACGTCCCCTTTGCATATTCGCAAGTTCTAGGGGTTAGGATGTAGACACCTTTGAGGTATCATTATTTTGCTTTTTACAGTTGGCTTATGTCTAAATTGGGTTCCCTAGAAACAGACCCTGGTTTGAGAATTTGAATGAAAGTAATTAGAAAGTGTTTCCAGGAAAAACCTGGAGAGGCGAAGGGGAAGTGGGATCAAGAAGAGAAAAAGGCCAAGTAACATGTGATTGTCAGACAAAGTCCCACAGAGGGAACTTTGGCTCAACCTTGCAGGGTGTTCTGGAGACAGGTTAGGCACACATCAGGGACAAGGAAAGTGGCATATTTGTACCCCACATCCATCAATCATTGGTCAACGGCTGACCCTGGGAGGGGAACATAAATTCCCAGGCATGTCTAGCTCTTCATGTGCACAGGCCAAGAAGACTCTCACATAGGTGCAGGTGCTAGCTATGGGGAGGGAAAGCAATGAGGAGTCAGTGTGACCAAAAATGGTAACAGGATCAAGGGGATAGAGGTGCAGCACACTAAGAGAGGCAGCTACAATTTTTCTGCAAAGGATTTCCAGCAGGAGGTGACAAGATCCAATGCTCTGGAGATCAACCCTGGAAGAATTATTCCTGGAGAAAGGAACACGAAGGGAACCAGGTAGCCATAAGGCCCCAGAATCATGCAGAAAAGTAAACCATTAGCTACTAGCCATTGGAGGCAGGAGTTAAGCTCCATAGAAGCAACAGAGAAGGCTGAATTGCCTAGAGTTGCTGGGGTCCGCACTGGTGAGTTTTGAGCACACTTAGCAGACAGACTCCTTGACATGAATCCTAGTTCTTATCTTTGTACATGTGGATCCTTCAGTCAGAAATGTTCTCATTCTCTCTTTACCCAAATCCTACATATTTGAAATGCCTCCTCCCTCATGAAGCAAATCCTGGTTCCCCCACCTCTGGATGCCCCAGGACCTTGCCAAAATCTCTTCTGTGAAACATATGACTTTGTGTTTTGCATTATGCTATTTACGTCCATGTCTTATCTACCCAGCTAGACTGATCATCTAGAGACCTGGGGCTGTGCTGTGTCAGCTCTATGCCCAGAGGCTGGCACAATGCCTCAAATGCTATGGTCCTTGGTAAGCACTGGCTGAAAGTCATGTAAGTGAAGGCTTCCTGCTCCCAATCAGCACTTACACACAGTTGACTTGGGAAGATGTGGGCCCCCTCCAGAGCTCAGGCCACCCGCAGTGCCATTTGGCATGCACTCAGTTCTTTTCTTCCACTATCCATGCCCATTGTGCCCATCGACAGTCCATTTCCTGGCATCAAAGCTGACTGTAGCAATTCTTGCTTCCTGGAATTACTCACCAGTCTGAATTTTCTGCCCTGACCAGGTAGATTTCATCAACTACATTTCTACATTTCCAGCCATTTTGGTTTCCAGAAAGTAAACCAAGGACAGAGCAGAGAAGTACTTCATCTCCCTGACATTCTCATCTGCAATCTGGGAGAGGCAGCCCTCAGTTATTGTTGACTATTATTGACAGAGTGAGTTGAGGAAGAGCCACAAGACCTCAAATTCCAGGCTTTCCTTCATTTGCCTCCTTCTCAGCTTCCCCAGGCTGTGAGGATGGGGCGCCAGCCCTCTGGCCAGCACAGGTTCAGAGGTTTTCATCCGGCTCCCCTGGCCTTCGCTATCTTGTTGCTGGGGCTGCTCTCTGAGGAGTGAGCATTCCACTGAACAGGAGAATCAAGGCTGTTCCACTGAGCATGAGGCCAAATTGAGCCAAACTGGGCCAGGCTTTGGAGTCCACATGCTTCTGCCTGAGCCCTGCCTCTGCTCCTTACCACCTTGGTAACTCTGGGAAAATTACTTAGCCTCTCTAAGTCTGTGAAAAAGACGCTCAGCTGCCAAAAGGGAGTTCTCAAGGGTTTCTGTCTCAGAGGGGAATGTTAGGCTCAACTGACATAACTGATATGCAAATGTGTTGAAAGCTGTTGGGTGCTGCACATGTTAAGAAAATTATTCCAGTCTCAAGTTCAAAGTGAAAGGGCTCTAAGTCATTTCCTGCATCCTTGGATCTGGATGGTGGGAGATGGGGAGGTGGAGGAGAGACTTATCCAAATAGATAAGGTTCCTCTTGTTTAACATGGCTGAGTCACACACTCACTCATCCATGTACGGTCATTGATTCATTCGTTCAGTCTACAACTATTGAGTCCTTGCTACATGCCAGACACTTTTCTAGGTTCTGGGGGCAAATATGAAGATAGGGAGACTCCAATGGATGGAATTTCTATAATTCAAGCAAGAGATGATGATGTCCAGAGATAATGACAGCGCACAAAGGAATGAAGACTGAAGAAAAGTACACAGAGTTAATTGATATACGGGAAGTTGAAGGAACAGGATAAGGTTTTTTGGATAAGGGAAGAAGAATCTGGCAAGAGAAAAGATAGAGTCAAGCACAAATCCCATTTTCTGGCTTGAGCCAAGAGGTAGATAATGGTGCCAAACACAGAGTTGGGGACCTTGGAAGAGGAGCAGTTTGAGCAGGAAACATGGTGAGTTCAGGTTGGATCACAATGAGTTTAAAGTCCCTGTGGGACATCAGATGACAGATATTTGTTAAACAACTAGGTCTAGAAATTGGAAAGAAAGCTGGGTTCAGCAGATAGACTTGGGAAACATCAACATGTGGAATGGATGGGACCATCCACTGAGTGTTTACTACACATAGAGATACAGAGAAAAATGGTCTCTGCCCTCAAGAAGTTTAGTTTAAAGGAGAAGACAGACAAAAGAGTTGATCTGAATATGATAGTAGCATAGTGCACAAAGGGAGTACAAAGGATTGTGGAAACCCAGAGAAAGAAGACGTTAATTCTGCCTGGAAAGGTTGCAGAAAGCTTCCAATAGAGTTAACATTTGTTCTGGGCCTGAAGGGTGTGCCAGGAACGGAAGAGTCCGGGGATGTAGAGATAGTGCAAAGAGCCAGAGGAGAGGAACTGAGAAAACAAGACCAAAGGAGTGCTGAGCTGTGGCATTTGTACAGATGCTGGGGGCTGTGGGGATTGGGCAGGTTGCAGAGTAGGGAAGGGAGAAATGAGGCTGGAAAGGCATATTGAAGTCCAGTCATACAGGCAAAGGGGCATGGTGGTGATTCTGTGGCCACTGAAAATTTTCTTTGTTTGCTTGTTTGTTTCTAATTAGTTGTTTGTTTTGCAGGGGATAACACAATCAAGTCTGCATTTTCAAGAGATTACCCTGGGAACATTGTGGAAACCGGATTGAAGAAAGAAACTGGTTAGAGCTTTTGTGTGAGAGCATCAGTACATTTCCTGATGATTTCTTCACTTGCTGTAGAGATCCAAGACTGGAAGAGAACCAGGCTTGTAGTCTATTCGATCATTAACCCTTGCTAAGTCTTTGTGCACCTACATTTTACAGATTTCAGCGTAAAAGGAATTTCACCATAGCCTTACTTTCCTCAGTATATTCTGCAAGGATGCAATAAGAAGTAGGTATAACACGTTGGAAAGTATTCAGTGGGCTTTATGGAGAGTTATTTTTCATGCACAGTAGGAAAGGGTCTTTGGTAGAATCAAGCTGAGAGACAGAAACCTTATTAGCGTAAGAGTTCATCTAAGTTTGATCATGGAAAGCCAACACTGTTAGCGAGAGAAAGGTTTGTCTGGTAGAGGCAATACCTGAAGTCTCTGAAAGATCTAAATCAATTCTCCTATGAGAGAGACTGCAGATCTGCCAGTGCCCTTCCAGGAAAGAGTGAAAAACCACAATCAGTATGGTCTTCAGAACCTTGAGTGAGTATCATCTCCCAGAATGACAGATGGATGGAAGGTGGTTGGGGTGCTGAGGTTAGAAAAGATCCAGAGGACTTGGTGTGGAGGAGAAGGGAGAGTGATGAATTCCTTGGTGCCTGTCCTAGATGGACTTCAGAGGGACTGAACAGTGAATCAATAAGAAGAGTAGTGTTTTCTCCCATATTCTAGCACAGAGCTGTCCCATAGAAGTATAATGCAAGCCGTATATGTAATTTTAAACTTTCTAGTACCCAGATTTTTAAAAGTAAAAAGAAATAGGTGAATTCAATGTTAATAATATATTGTATTTAACACAATATATCCCAAATATTATCGTTTAACATGTAATTGATATTTTAAAATTGTTAATAAGATATTTTACAATTTTTTTCATAGAAAGTCTTCAAACTCCAATGTGTCTTTTGCGCTTAACCATATCTCAATTTGGACTAGTTACATTTCAAATGCTCAATAGCCACATGTGGCTACCATATTGGACAGTACAGTTCTCGACTGTGTTGTCTTAATCATCTCATGAAAGTAATTAAGTGGTAAGTGATTGAGTAAGTAGACCAAAATTCTACTACTTTTGATAATAGACTGGACCACACTTCCTGGTATTGCAGACATAACTGAAGGTTACACATATTTCCTTCGAAGCAGTAACAGTTTTGAGAATTTTCGTTAATGTGACTGGAAAATGCTACATCTCATTTCCTAATTAAAGCAGACTTTTGGACAATAGGTTGGAAATTGCCCCTCACTCTTCCACCGCGAAGAGACCACTCCATGTATATTTGAGGAAATAAACATGCAGCTGGGAGGACAAGTCAGGAGGGGATATGTAAATATAAAGTAAGTGGTTATGACCTGGTCTCCACTTGAGGGATATGAAGGATTACCTACAAGTAAAATAATTTGGCAGAAAAGAAACTAAGCAAGTGAAAAACAAGAATGGACCAACAGAGGGTCAACCCTCAACCCTGGGCAATTAATCACCTCACATTTGTTTTGCAACTTCTCACACTTACCAACTCTCACATAGGAGAAAGATGGGCCAATATATCAATCAAAAGTTAGCTTCTCAAAATGATACCTTTTCTCCTTTTTGCATTATTATGGGCTATTAAATAATTCTCCTGTTTGGGATCTTGGTTAGTTTGGTGGATGTCTCATACCTAATTTCACTGTAGTTCTTCCCCATTGAGTTCCTAAAATGAATATCTTGCCCAGTTTTCCACCTGTTCACTGATCCACCATTTCCTTTGCTCTGGGGAAGGAAATATAACCATTTGACCTCAGAGTTGAATGTGTGGCAGATGTGAATTTCCATTCTAATAACACGCAACCAGATCCATGCATTTACTGCCAGTGACTCTTTGCTCATTGACCATGCTCCCTTCAACCCACTGGTTCCACCACTACAGCCTGGGCAGTGGTGTGAGCAGCCACATCAGGAGTGGAGAAGTGGCCTCCTGGAGGAAGAAGAGAAAGTAAAAAGGAAAACCAGATGTGACATTTCTGATATCATTTCTTACAGAAAAAGAGACAGGATGGAGCCTGGATACCTTTTCCCTTTAGGTGGGAGGGATTTTTAGGGTCATGGTACAGAGGACCACCCACTAGCTTTGAAAGCACTTTTGTGGGAATTAGAGGGGAAAAAAATGCCCCCTCTGGGCAGATGCAACCCCATGAATGGGCACAGCATGGTGAGAATCATGGGCTGGATTTCAGCCCTTACTCTCCCCTAGCCCGCCATCATTATGCAGTGCACAAACTGCTGAACTGGGCGCTACAGCCCTGACGTGCACCATTCACACACACACTCCCTGTGCCTGTGAGAGGAGGTCAGGATCAGCAGTTGAAGGCAAGTAGGATGCGGCTGAGCCCCTGGATGCCTGGGCCTGCTGACCTAGGTGGCAGCCTTGAGCAGGGCCCTGCTGGGGCCTTGGAGGTTGGTGATGAACTCTCACATAATGCTTTACCTTCTGCTCACGTTTCATTTCTATGCCTTACGGGAGACTAGGAGCCCTTGTGAGCGAGGGGACAACAGGAAGATGGAGGGAAAGAGCTCTGGCCTTGAGGGCCAAAGAGGACCAACTGAAGGCAAGTCACTCTCCTCAACACAGGGTCTTCCCTTCCAGCTCTGAGAATTCATCACTCTCCAGAACCTCTGATTCCTTAACAGCAAAATTGCCCCACACCTAGGATGTTATCAGAAGACCAGGCAGCCGACAACATTTTATAAACTGGTGAGTGAAAAAAGCTGCCTGTGCACACTGGTTTGGCCCATCCTTAGGGAGAGGATAAATGACCTCACCCATCTCCTCCTAGGACTGGGCCAGCTGATGCTCAGAATGTCGTCTCCACCCCAGCCCAGCTGGCAACGGCCCCACCTTGAGTGGTCAACAGCAGAGCTATGCTCACTGCTTCCCAGAGCCCACAACCAAGGACTAACTGCTGTTCAATCTGGATGTGAGTAACTGGTTTTGGATGACTCAGGGTAGCAAGTGAAATGCCTGCCAGGTAAAGCAAATGATCAAATGAGAATAACAGATCACAGTGGGCTGCGATGACCTGGGCACCCGCTGTGCAAAGAGGCGACCACGCCTCAGCTCCAGTGATCTTCCCCACCACGTGGACCCAAGTTGCTACTTTTTTCCAACTTTTCAAGAAAAACTGGAAATTCCGTCTTTTATATGAAATCATCCAATTTTCCCAGATTGGCAATGAGTTCACTTTTAAAGTCACTTAATGCAGGTTAAACAAATTGAATCTGTAGGCCAAATATGGTTCAGGCGGCACTAAGGAAGGGCCCTTGCTCTGGCTCAAGCCTGGGATCAGAACTGGTCTCCAGAGGATGCATGCCACAGCCACTGTGTTCTGGCTGTGCTGCTTCAAAACTGCCCTTTGGCGTGGCAAACTGGCTTACACTGTATGAGATGCATGCGCATATGTGTGTGTGTGCATTTTTCAACTGTACATTGAGATACCCCAGCCATGAGAACATCACTGAATGCTCTCACAAACTCTGCAGCACAGGACAAAGTATTATTATGGCCATTTCACAGAGGAGGTTACATGACTTGCCCAATGACCAAGGCAAGATTTACACTCAGGTCTGACTCATTCTAAAACCATTTTTTAATTAGGTTTCTTAGCACTGTTCACCTCTCCACAGAGCAGAACATAGCAAGAGCAAATGAACCACATCAACAAATATTAGCAGTTACCAATTCTGGAGATGGTGTAGCAGGTGGGGCTCTCCCAGGGGTCAGGTTGTTGGTGTGCTATGCAAAGGAAAGCTGGGTGAGTGAGCCTCAGTGTCACTGTGGACCTACTACCATAGTTCCCTGTACCTGCCGTATTGGTTCATACTTCTCTACCCTTGCGTATTGTTTCTACTGCCTAAAATGTCCTGCCATGATTTCTTAAACTTAGCAACCTCCTACTTCCTGCTAGAGTCTCTCAGGACCCTAATTGGGTGCCACCTTTTCCTGGGAGCTTTTCCTTTTTTTTTTTAAAGATTGGCACCTGAGCTTACAACTGTTGCCAATCTTTTTTTTTTTTTTCTGCTTTATCTCCCCAAACCATCCCATACACAGTTGTATATCTTAGTTGTGGGTCCTTCTAGTTGTGGCATGTGGGACGCCGCCTCATCGTGACCTGACAAGCAGTGCCATGTCCGTGCCCAGTATCCGAACCCTGGGCTGCCGCAGCAGAGCGCGCAAACTTAACCACTCAGCCACGGGGCCAGCCCCTCTGGGAGCTTTTCCTGATGGCTTAGCTGACTCCCCTGCCCTTCAGCTGATCTGCACAGTAGTTGTCTCTTAAATTCCTGGCTATCCACTCATTATAGTATAGTGCCCAAGCCCTACAGAGGAGGTGCTCAAAAAACACCATTGAATAAAGGAAGCAAACATCAGATAGATGACTGGAAGAAACTGGATTTAAAAATCCCTTCTGTGTCTGGGGCTGGCCCCGTGGCCGAGTGGTTAAGTTCGCGCGCTCTGCTGCAGGCGGCCCAGTGTTTCCTTGGTTCGAATCCTGGGCGCGGACATGGCACTGCTCATCAAACCACGCTGAGGCAGCGTCCCACATGCCACAACTAGAAGGACCCACAACGAAGAATATACAACTATGCACCGGGGGGCTTTGGGGAGAAAAAAGGAAAAAATAAAATCTTTAAAAAAAAAAAATCCCTTCTGTGTCAGTCAGTTTAGGCCAGGCTGTGGTGTAGTAACAAGCAATCTCAATGTCCTAACATATGAAGGTTTATTTCTAGCCCGTTAACAATCTCATGTGGGTCTGATGTCTCTTCAGGGAGCCCCACTCCAAGTGGTGACCCAAAGACCCAGGCTTCCAGTAGCAACCAGCTGAGGAAAGTACAAGAGGGTCACACTCAGCATCACTTCTGCTCACAGCCAGAACTGCTTACATAGCCCCATCTGTGGAGCTCCTGTAACTCACTGAGTAGCCATGCTGTAACTAGCCAGAACTAGTTGTAAAGCCCAGTGAACTGAAAAGGGACTGGGAAATATGAAGAAGCTGTGGATAGTGGATGAGTGGTAAATGTTTCAGCCATAACTTCCAATCAATGATAACCTATAAACTCTCTTTTTTATGTAATAAAATACTCCTGGAACAGTTAACAGAATAGTCAGAAATAGTAAAAATTAACTAGGATCTAGCCTAGGGGTATCAGCTTGACACTAGAAATGCAAAACATTTCCTGCCTCATATTTAATTTGTTAAAAATCCTCATCTATCCTTTTCCTTTCCATATTATAAGTGTTGAGATTCTCAGAACTGTTTTTGGTTTTTTCCCCTTGGTACAAACTATTGGAATTTCAGCACTCAGCCTTGACATTTACAAGGTTTTCTAATAACTGGTGAAACAAATCTTAATAAGAAGGAAAAAATGTTCATCTTATCCTAAAGCTACTGAAAGGTGATAGTACTTTGCTTCATAAAATTATTCTTTGTTGTTGCATACCGTCATGTCAGCTCCAACTCCTGATGACCTGTGAATGAGTGATGTCCGCAAAGTCCTGTGCTCCACAGCCCTACTCACTTCCTGTAGACTCGTGCCAATGGCTGCCTTTATGGAGTCAACTCATCTCATATTTGGTCTTCCTCTTTTCCTGCTGCCCTCTACTTTTCCCAGCATTATTGTATTTTGCAGAGTCCTGCCTTCTCATGAGGTGCCTGAAGTAGGACAGCCTCGGTTTTATCGCTTTTGCCTCCAGTGATAGCTCAGGATTAATTTGCGCTAAGACCCACTTGTTCATCGTTCTGGCTGCCCAGGCTATACACAGAGCTCTCCTACAATACCATATTTCAAATGAATCCAGTTTTTTCCCGCCAGCTTTCTTCATTGTCCAGCTTTTGCAACTGTATGTAGTAACTGGGAACATGAGGGTGTGGGTAATCTTGGCCTTAATCTCTGACAACACTTCCTTACATTGATGATCTTTCCTATTTCTTTCACTGCTGCCCTTCCAAGTCTCAGTCTTCTCTTGATTTCTTGGCTTCAGTCTCCATTTAAATTGATGACTGGACCAAGGTAAACAAAATCTTTAACAATTTCAGTGTCTTCATTGTCTATGTTAAAGTTGTGTAGCTCTTCTGTGGTCATGATTTTTGTCTTCTTCCTGTTCAAATGCAGTCCTGCTTTGGCACTTTCTTCTTTCACTTTCGCCACAAGTCGTTTCAGGTCATTGCTGCTGTCTGCCTGTAAGATGGTGTCATCTGCATATCCTAGATTGTTGATATTTCTTCCACCAATTTTCACTCCTCCAATTTTTCTTCTTCTTTCCTTTCTTCTTCTTACAGATGCTATTTCTAACAAAGGAGTCTTGTAAGAAATTTGGACTCAGTAATTGTTGCTGTAGTCTATAAAAGTTGTCTTTGACCTCCAAAAATATGTAATTATGATTTACTGACTAAATAATTTGTTGCCTTGGCAAAAATATTTAAGTTGACATTTTTGGGGAGAGGAGTTGACTACAAAGATGACACATATGGAAAATTTTAGGGAATATGTGACTATGGTGGCCCAAAGACCTCAAAATGTGATTTGTACCACAGAAAAGTGGTGGATTTTATTACTGAATAAAGAGAAACAAGAATCCATATTGACTCAGAAGTGGAAGCAGAAGCTTTGTCAGTAGGCTATTCAGCCCTGTGCTGGAGGAAAGCAAAGTGGCAGTGAAGAGGTTTTTAATAAACAAGATAAGAAGGCTTGTACAGTGCCATCAGTAAAGCTATCTGAATTTTGCAAAATAAAGCAACAAAAGCAGGAATGTCTAGAATTCCCTTTTCTGAGAGAATAGCTGGATTTTAAGTACAAATTTGGTAAACTTAATATCACAAATAACTCTTGGCAGAATATTTCTGCAGATGGAATTTAAGTTCATAGACCAGGAACCGGTATCTGGGATCAAGCAAGTAGACAGAGAAAATGGAGAGAAAAGAAACTTGACTTCAGTCTCACTGGGATACCACGCAATCTTACGTCCTTTAAAATACAATACATACTACTATAACTATACCTTATGTATTCTTTTGTCTTTAATTCCTTTCACTCATTATTTGGCTCATGAAAATCAACCACTGTTTACCAATCCACAATTAATTTGTTATCATTTCTACTGTGAATTATCATTCAAGTTATTTCCAATTTGGTGCTATAAAGAGCAATACGGTTTTAAGCATTCCTACACTTGTCTCTTGGGGCACACGAACATAATTTTCTCTAGGATATATCCTAAGGAGTGACATTGCTGAGTCATAGAGTTCGCATCTCTTCAAATCCACTAGATAATGCCAAACTGTTTTCCAAAATGGTGGGATCAATTCATGCTCCCTCCAGCAATAAGTGAAAGCTCTTCATGCTGCACAATGACTCCCACACTTAATATTGTCAGACTTTATCATCTGTACCAATCTGTTGGCTGTGTGATGGATATCCATATGTTAATAGTATTTAATTATAGTTTAATTTATAATTAGTTTAAGGTTAAGAGGCTTTTAATATGGTTACTGACAGTTAGCATTGCCTCTCTTCTGAAGTGTCTATTCAAGACTTCTGCCCTTTTTTGATTAGGGTTTTCTGATTTGGGAAGATCTTTATACATCTTTTGTATTAGCCCTTTCTTAGTTATCTATGTCTCTCACTCTGTGTCTCAAACATTCACTCTCTTTAAAGTGACTGATGAACAGAAGCTCTTTACTTTAATGTAGTCAAATGTATTAATCACTATATTATTGGTTAGCATTTTTTTTGTATTTCATATTAAAAATCTTTCCTTGTACAGGGTCATGAAAATATTCCCCTATATTGTCTTTTAAAATCTTCATAGCTTTCACTTTAATCCATCTGGAATTGATTTTTGTGTATGGTGTCAAAAGGTGTCAGATTCCTTTTTATTTCATTGTATGGATAACTAGACACTATTTATTGAACCATTTACTATTTACTGAAAAGTCTTTCTTTTTCCAGTGACCTTCAGTGCTTCCTTCCTCATAAATAAAACAATTCACATAAGAATGGGTTTGCCTCTGGACTCTCTATTCTGTTCCATTGGGATATTTTTCTATCCTTGTGTCAATACCAAACTGTCTCGACTACTGAAGCTTTACATCAACCTTGATATCTGGGAGGGCAAGTCCTGTACCTCATTCTTCTTCTTCAAGACTCTCTTGGCTATTCTTATCCCTTGGCAAATAAAATTCCATATAAACTTTAAAATCAATTTGGCAAGTTCTGCAAAATAAATCCATTGGAATACATAAATCAATTTGGAGTATATATCTATATATATTTTTCTGTATCCAGCAAATTGCAAAACTTGCTTATTAATTCTAATCTATCTGTAGATTCTTCAGAACTGTCTGTGTACGAATCTGTGAAAATGTCAATTTTATCTCTTTATGTTTATTTCTGGCTAAGACCTCTAAAACAATGTTGAAGTGCAGTGGTGATGGTGGGCATTTTTGTCTTGTTCTGGACCTCAAAGGTGAAGCTTTTAATCTTTCACTGTTGAGAATGGCATTTGCTGTGGGTTATTTGTAGACACACTTTATCAGATTAAGGAAGTTCTTTTAAAGGAAGATTAAATTAGCAGATTGCTAATCTTTAAATCAGAAATCAGTGCTGAATTTTATCAGATGCTTCTTCTGCATTAACTGAAGCAATCAGAAGATTATTCTTGTTTAATCAGTTAATGGGGGGGTTGCATGTTATATTAATTAATGTTCTTGTGTTAAACCACACATGTGAGGAGATACATGTATATAATGAAGCCACCATTTTTAACGTTAAGCCCTTGATTTAGTCTCCTTAACACTTTATCTTTATTTTCTGTATCTGTAGCCTTAAAGAATCGTCAAAGAGAACTTTCCTGCCAGCTTCATGTGCTGTTTCAGCTGTACTTTGTGCACCTAATGCTGCTTCTCACAGAATTACCCTCCGCTGTCCAGAGTCTCCACAGCTATCTCAGAGATGAAAGGCTTTGTGACCTGTGCTACCTGTTGTCAACTACCACAGGTAAAACTTCCCAGTCTTCTGGGATTTGGGGCTGAGCTCCAGAAAGAAATGAGTCACTCTTGTCAAAAATGCCTCCTATGGTGGAGTATTAAGGAAAACCTCAATACAGAGGGGGTGGGAATGGAGCAGGTGTTGCTGAGAAAAATGGAACAGGGCAACTGAGAAAACAGGACAGATGGGGAGTGGGGTGGCTGATAAGTCACAGCAACCAAGGCTGAGGAGCCAGGAAAAAAACTTCAGAGCTGTTTTGGCTATAGACCGGTCTCTATGGACGGTCCAGTCCAAGAGGGTGAGCGGACAGGGCTGGGCACAGGCAGATAACTTGGGGCCCCTTCAAAAGAATAATCTTTAAATATTTATTCAATATGTGCACAGAGGAGAGACTGAGCATGAGGGCAGGGCGAAGAAGGCTGTTAGGATTGGCAGCCTCCGCCTGTCTTCCTTGGTCGTGAGAAATGCAGCCGGGGACACAAATATGCATACCTTATTTAGTGAAACAAAAGCTCTGTAGGTAACCCAACCCACCTTTTCTGCTGATCTTTGAAAGTCTAGTGAAGATCGCTCCCTTCTCAAACTGTAATCTGCATACTTCTTTCTTTTCAATCGCTTGCTAAGCTCCCAGTGGTGTTGGTGCACAAGGCAACTGGCCCGTTGGCCTGCCCCTACCTAACTCTGAGGGCGGAACATGGCCTTGAGGGCCTCCGGTGAACAAGGTCTGGTCAGGTACACATGGGTGTTATCTGAGAAGTCAGATCCACTCTCTTTAAGAGAGTCTAGAAGGAATTGGGTCCAAGATATTGAACTGAAAGGAATGAAGTAGGAATGATAGGTTCCTTCCACAGCTCAAGCACAGAGCTCTTTCCCCTGGGCTCAGAGTGTGATGAGGGCAGAGAGGAGGCGCCACCTAATCCGCTGCACGGGAGTGAAGGAACCGGAACTGCGTCTAGAAGGCTGAGCAGGTGTGAAGCAGGATAGGAGATTGCAGGATGGGGGAGGGCTTTTAGACTTAGCAGATGGCGTGAAGAAAAACCAGAGGCAAGAATAGCCTGGGGGCAGGCCCAGTGGCCCAGAGGTTAAGTGCACTCGTTCCACTTCGGCCGCCCGCGGTTCACCGGTTTGAATCCCGGATGCAGACATGGCACCACTTGTCAAGCCATGCTGTGGCAGGCATCCCACATATAAAGTAGAGGAAGATGGGCATGAATGTTAGCTCAGGGCCAGTCTTCCTCAGCAAAACGAGGAGGATTGGCAGCAGATGTTAGCTCAGAGCTAATCTTCCTCAAAAAAAAGGGAAAAAAGTAAGAATAGCCTGACTTGTGCAGTTTGGTGTGGTCAGAGGGTTAATTGTGGGGTGAGAGATGGGGGAGATGGGTCTGGAAAGGCAGACAGAGACCAGGTCATAGAGGACACCTGGGTGTGTGAAGGTCTATCCTGTCACACTGGGAACCTCGGAAGGCTTTAAGCAGAGGAACACCAGGCTCAGACCCACAGCCTGGCTCCCGGAGTGCTGACGGTGGGGAGACAATTTGGGAGGCTCCTCCCGACAAGTCATCAAATGCTGTGGTTTCTGTTATCTTTGAGCCACTTCATCCTTGAGTGAGAAACAACAGAAAATAATACCTAAACCCCAATTGCTGGCGTGGAGAGAACACATGCTCTTCCTACCAGGAGGCCCTGGTGGAGACATCTGCCGGAGTGCATCCCACAGAGTTTGGACCGTCTGGAGGGGCAGCTGAGCTGAATCTCACTGGGTGATATATTCATCCACACCCCTTTCCCCTGGATTCATGCATTTTCCTGAACATCAAAACTGAGGTGGAGTGAATGTGCTCCCTTCCTCATCACAAAGACTTCGATGAATGTCTTCTCTTGGGGTAGAGGATAGAATTTCTTTCTGAGGGTAAAGTGGCCACTACGCATTAGATCTGTCCCATGACTTTCCTGCTGATTATGGACAGGGCGGGTGGCAGCTGACTTCACTGCAGTATAAGTTAAAAATTAATCACTGATTGAATCAGAACAAGTGTTCATGCTGTGGTCTGGTGTCTGTAGAGTTTAGTCAAGCTCCAGGGAAGACGTTTTCTCATCTATTCTTCTCCCTCTGAATTTTCCCCTTCAAGATTTGACTTTTTCTCTTGTGGAAATTAATACCGTGTTTGCAACCTTAAAGGTTTTGACTGACACTTCCTTCTTGTGAAGGTTTTGAGTACAAACTGTTCAGTTTGAGGACAATGTAACCAAATCTCGGGGACACAAAGAAAATAGCTTCTTAAATTTTTCATGAGATATTGTATCTCTAATTTCATTCTAGCTAACACAGGAATTTAGCTAAGCAGTACTTGAGTCAAGTTTATTGGGCAGTGAACTCCTCTATCAACAACCATTGCCCCTGGAGATGAAAAACCTTTGAGTAGTGTGCTGTAATATTTTAGGAGGAAGGTGGAAGGTCCTTCTGCTGCTGGTTCTTGGAGGAAAGCTCTGAGATGATTCTGTTACACAAGATAGGCTTTGGCCAAAGCAAATGAAAAACTAGCAGGCGAAATCCCAACCAAGCCTCAAAGAGCAGCCAAAGCCAGCTGTGCTGGAGTCAGGAAACCACTTGCACATGTTTTGCTTCCAGGCTAATCATGTGGATTTATTTCCCCATGTGGAGTGGGCTGTAGGGTGGCAGCACAAGGAGATATAGACTTGCATAATCTTGTAGGGAAGCACAAGCATGAGAACATGTTTATTAAGGGATTATGCTTCGTCTGGATAACCTGAGCCAGACCAACCCACCATGCAGCTGTACTCAATTCGTCTTGCCCACCCAACAGATCTCATTACTGTGGATAGAGTAAATGGTGCAGTGGCAAAGTAGAGATCTAGAGAAGGCCCCGGAGTTATTTTATTCTGTGCAGAGAATTAAGTGTACCAAGGTGTCCCTACATCAAGTTTTTGAGGAGTTTTTTGTAAAGTTTATGGAGGAAATTGTTATTAAGCCTTTATGGACTGGAGTCTTATTTCCCATCCATTTCTCGGTAGGCTCTGAGGAAATGGTAGATGGACTTATCTGTAAGGAAGTAGAGTTCAACCCACTTCAATGCCAATAAGTGTTTGTTGTTCACACAGAATGTACACAGCTCTGGGTTTGATCTGCGGGAAGTTAAGAAACGAACCTCACATGATTCTTGCTCTTCCTCCTAGAGCTTGGTCTAAATAAGGAGAGAGAGACATACACAAGAATATTTGACCTACTTGACCCATCTGACCAAAAGCTCTGGAAGCCCAAGGCAGTGCAATTATTTAAGACACAAAGAGATGGCATCTGTCTTGGCACACCCCCTTATACTGGGTTGCCCCAATTTCACAAGCCAAAGGGGAAAACTAAAGACAGAGAATGTTTATACCATCATGCTTCAATTTGAAATTCCTCACTCCAGCCCCTGCCCCCACCTGCCAAGGAGGGCACGGTCAAAGAAAGCAAAAGAGGGAAGGAAGGATTTGGGAGCCCAGTAATGCTGCCTTTAAAATGTACAATCTTATGATGGTAGAAAGGCCTCCCAGATGCAAATGTCTTAAATGAATAAAATCAGAATATGAATTGCAGATAACTTTCGAGTTATACATAGTTGCGTTCAAATTTTTCCTCAGCACTTTTTAGCTACACTACACTTGGCAAGATATTGGAACTTACTAATCTCAGTTTTCTCATCTGTAAAATAGGGAAAATAAAAATTAACTTCACGAGATTAAATGAAAATTAAATCATTAAATCAAATGAATTAAATAAGACTTTGTATCTGTAGCCTAAGTATCCCCCAAGTCTTCCAGCCACAGATTTTCATAGTAAAGGTGGGAGATAACTACCACTCGCTCCAAATTTCTCCTGCTGATAATCCTGCTTATTGTCTTGCCTCCTCTGTCTGCCTTGCTTTGCCCCAAACAAGGAAAAGCCATTGTTCCTCCATTCCTCAGAGCATCATTAGCCCAAACAGGTGTGTATAACGAGTCCTTACCACTTACTGAAGATTCCGGAATGACAGTGGTAAGGAGTCAGAGAGGAAGTTTTCCTACATTCAGCTCCCTCTTCCTCTAAGAGCCTGCCTGTCCTGTTTACTTCCAGACACCCTACCTCCATCCAATCCTGTTTCTCTCTCTGTTCTCTGCTTTGTTCTTAATGTGGCTAACCTCCTCCCCCTCATTTCCCAGAGCACCAACACCAACCTAATGTGTATTACAGACTGTAAGTGATTAACTGAGAAAAATGAAAGATGACTCAAACAGATCAGGGGACAGGAAACATCAAAAAAAGAGTATTTGACATTTTACTGTTCCTCGCTCCTCCCCACCACGATCCCTCTGGGTGATGCCTTTCCCTGAGACGCTGCTTACCAGTATCCTTGTCAAGATGTTCTCCACCTCAGCGCTTCTTCTAGTCCCCAGGAGTTCCCAAACCTCCTTGTCAGAGGGCAATTCCTAACATTGTTACCTTATTCCTCAGAGCAATTAGTTTTCCTTCTGTTCTACTTATCTAAGTCCTCACATTTCACACTAAAACCCATCAAGATGTTTTCCTAAACATAAGAGTTGCTTCATTTACACTCATTTTATTTATTACTCCTTTACGGTCATTTTACTGGGACTTCCTGGGGGCAGGGAGACAAACACGTGTATTCAGTCTGCCATGTTTAATCAAAAGCCTAAAGCTTCATTTTTCTAGATCTGTTGTATATTACCAGAAATCTGAAATATTTGATCACTTTTTTTTTAAAGATTGGCACCTGAACTAACTATTGTTGCCAATCTTTTTTTTCTTTGCTTTTTCTCCCCCAACCCCCCGAGTACACAGCTGTATATTTTAGTTGTGGGTTCTTCTAGTTGTGGCATGTGGGACACTGACTCAGCATGGCCTGATGAATGGTGCCGTGTCTGCGCCCAGGATCCGAACCAGCAAAACCCTGGGCCACCGAAGCAGAGCACACAAACTTAACCACTCGGCCACAGGACCAGCCCCTGACCACTTCTAGAAAGTCCTAAAAGCTTTGGAGATCCTGGTATATTTGATGTTTATTATGAGGGCTGTGTCTTCCTGGTGCCATAGAAGAATTATTCCTATGCATAAATATCTCCAAATCACATTAAAAGAGAGAATGGCTTTCACCTGCCCAGGGGGTTCTGGCTCTTGTCGGCTCAGCCAGAGTCTGCTGTTTGCTGCCTTGCCATGTGACATGGGGTGAATTACTCTTCTGAGCCTATGATTCCTGCTTCCTGTGAGTCAGCAGCAGTTAAGGGCATCTGCTCTTCCCATCTTCTCTGGGGTGAACTCCCATGAGGACCTGCCCACTAGTCAGAAAAGGGCTGGCCTGGAGAAAAGCACTGACCAAAGGTGGGAACTTGAGCAAGTCACTTGGCCTCTCTATCCCTCAGTTTCCTTGCCTAAAGACGGAGGCTTATGGATCTCACAAGGATTTCATGAGGAGAAAATGGGATGAAATATGTGCCCGGCGTATGGAAGGTGTTCGATGAGCAGTGATCTAGATATTCTCCATGCAAGTCCATTAAAGTCCACAACTGGTTTGTGCCCTTTTATGGAAATGAATCCACTCCATTGTACTCCTTAATTGAGATGGTAAGCTTTTAAACGGATGGCCTTTTCCATTTTTAAAATAAGTTGATGAGAGAGCCCTAAAATTTTTATCACATATAATAGGTTGCCTAAGTAGGTCTGAGCAGACTTCTCAAACTTTGATGCTTATCCAGGGATCTTGCTAAAATGGAGATTCTGATTCAGTAGGTGTGGAGTGAGGCAGACAGTGTTGCTGCAGACTTGCAGGTTATGGATTTTGACTGCTGTTAGCGTCTCCCGGGCATAGAGTTTCAGGCTGTACCAAACTCTGCATCTCTTACATATGCCCCACCAGTCAGAATGGATCCAGATGAGAGCGGGGAAGGCAGATGGAGAGTTTGGGAAAGAGAGGTAGAGAATAGGAGAGGCAGGGTGGTGTGGTGAAAAGAGCACCAGCATGGGAGTCAGGTGGTTTTGGAGTTGAAGTCTAACCCGCCACTTGTTAGTTTTATGACCTTTGGTAAATCACCTAACCTTTTTAAAAAAAAAAAAAAAGATTGGCACCTGAGCTAACAACTTTTGCCAATCTTTTTTTTTTCTTTTTCTACTTTTTCTCCCCAAATCCCCCCAGTACACAGTTGTATATTTTAGTTGTGGGTCCTTCTGGTTGTAGCATGTGGGATGCCGCCTCAACATGGCCTAATGAGCGCCTTGTCCATGCCCAGGATCCGAACCAGCGAAACCCTGGGCTGCCGAAGCGGAGTGCACGAACTCAACTACTTGGCCACGGAGCCCACCCCTCACCTAACCTTTTTAAGGCTCAGTTTCCTCAACTTTAAAATGGGGAAGATAATCCCTACCTCCCAGTATTGTTGTGAAACTTGTGTAACACCATATCTCCATAACTCTGTCCCTGTGTCCCAAAGAGTTTCAATATCACATGACTACTACCTGCAGAGCCTGAAGGTGGAACAAGGGGTTCTTTACTGTTCTCTGGCTGCATTCAGTTCAAGCAGAATTCATCTCAAACGGGTACCCAAAGCCTCTTCTCCCTTGGTCTCCTCCTACTTTCACTACTCAACTGCTTCCTCCACAGGGGCCCGGTTCTGTCCTGCCACAGTCCCTTGATGAAGGCTGAGAGTAAGAATGGAAAAGAATAAAGGCAGTGGAAGAGAAAGAGAAACCCCCTTCTCCTAAAATGAAAATGAGACTGGATGTGGGATGTCACAGTAAACTGTGGCCCCCTACCTTTGTCCTTCCCTTTCTAGTCCCAAACAATAAACAACAACTAAGAATGGGGTATGCAAAGCTCTTTGTCTAATTCCAAAGTTTGCTTGACACCTTCCTGCCTCTTCTTAACCTCCTTTTGTGAGTTAAGACTTTGTTGAACTAGAGCCACCCTAGCAAGAGGAGCTTAAAGCTATATTTGCCAGCAAAACACCTTCAGCTGTCATCTATGGAATCATGTGCTTTAGCAGGAAATAGCAGAGTGCCTAGTTAGCATAACAAAATCCATTCCCAGTGATCTGTAAACAGATTCACCACTTTGAAGAACTTTCCTGCTGACCCCAGTATTTCCTCTTTTCCTGCCATCTAGCCAGATTCCAGGACTTGCAGGAGCAGCAAGAGTGCCAGCACCAAAGAGCAGAGACTCCTGGAGGCCATGCCAAGTGGACTCCTGATGGGCAACACGGACACTCGATATGAAAGTAAAGATCTGATTGGCATCCTCTTCTTGACGTGCTGTATGTTCTGGATAACAGTCCAGAAGCAAAACTACAAAACTGCTTTCATTCAGATTAACCAGTTAAATGTAATGGATGATGCTGTTTTGCTAAACTAAAACATTGATGTTGGTTTAATAACAGAAAAATGTATTTGTGAGGTTGTTTGGACTTTTTTTCTTGTTGGCCTATTTTATTTTTGTTTTTGAGCATGGTGAGTCATTGCTGTTTTTTCATTTAACCATGATCTGTTATTCTAATGAACGAATCAATAAATTGTGCAGTCTAAAACAGTGAGAATGTATTTGGAATCTTCACAGCTACTGCTAATAAGCTGTTTTGAGTTGATAGCACAGAAACAAGATCTGGACAGGCTTTTACTTCCATGACTATATTTCTGCCTGCTGTGAGCCAGGTCTTTTGACTTCAGCTTGTCTATCATACAGGTGTTGAGTGAGGACTCAATTCTTCTATCTCTTTCTCGTTTCAAACCACCACCAAACTCGTTATTATACTGGCTTATTCAGCACAGTATATGGTCATGCAGCTTTCACTCGCGTGGATGCAGTAGTTATGTAATATTGGCCTGCTATCTTCTCATTAGCCCAAGAAGTGGAAGACATGAAGTGAAAGGAGTAAGTGCATTTCTCTTCTGCAATAATTTTTATTGTGTCAAATCAGAATCTCAGTTTGCAAAATGACCTATGACTCTAAAGCCTTCTTCTATGACACTGGCTTCAATTGCATATTATCTCTGCTGGAAAGGAAATTTGTCTTTACAACATGAGTACAATGGTAATTATAAGTCAACTGTCGGCATTTGAACAACACTAACCTAAAGTCATCCAGAAGGCTCAGCAACACAGTAAAAGTTCAGTGCTGTCGCTTCAAGACAGGGGTTAGCTGGTACCAACATAATTGTCAACACAGCTCAGAAACTGCGTGGCCGAAGCTGGTTTTGAGTGTGAGTGTATCACCCACATGATTGAGAATATGGTTTAAACAATCCTTTCCAGACCGTCAGCTTTGGAGAACGTAACATTTTCAAGGTTATCTTTTGAAAAAAGAAAAATTTTTAGATTCTCCTAGAATTCTCCCATCCACAGACTCCAAAGTGTGATAAACACTAATCTCTGTCTTCTTCTTCATTGTCCAGGAGAGGAAATAGGCCAGGAGAGAGGGGAAGCAGCTGACTCGGGCACGCGGCTGCCCTCTGACACAGCTGGACCTCAAGCCCAGAGCTTCCCATTCCACCCAGCTTCACCTCTGTATCAGTTGGCTCTTGCTCTCCATGAAGCAAGTTTGATCTCACTAAGTTCAGATATACAAAATGGTGACGTTAAAGGATACTTATTACTTTTTATTTTAGTTTTCTAAAAAATATATATTCTCTGTGTCTCCATTCAAACTTGGAGTTCCAAGTTGACATTACCAATTCATGGAGAATAATTTAGTTTCTAAGCTGCAACCAGAGCTCCCTCTAATGGCTATTTATTTGGACAGCAAATTCTTGGGAAAATGAAACACCCCTGTTCTTTTGGAACTGAGGAATTCTTTTATTCTTATTGGTTAATGAGTCATTTACCTTTGCAACTAGATCATTTGTATCCCATTTCAGTCTACAGTTTCTAGAAAACCATGATATTCCCACCTCTGAAAATCATATCGCTATAAGTGAAAACAGAACTTACTTGATGTAATGGTTAATTAGATGAGTGAGCTTGACTGGGCCACCAGGTTCACAGATACTTGGTCAAACATTATTTTGGGTATGTCTGTGAGGATGTTTTTGGGTGAGACTAACACTTAAATGAGTAGACTGAATAAAGTAGATGGTCCTCTCTAATGTGGGTGGCTCTCATCCAATCATTTGAAGGCCTGGATAGAACAAAAAGGCTCACCCTTTTTGTCAAGTGAGGGGGACCTCCTCCTGCCTGTGTGCTTGAGCTAGGTTATCAGTTTTTCCTATCTTGAGGGGTGAACGGAAACATTGGCTCTTCTTGGGTCTTGAGCCTGCCAGCTTTTGGACTGAAACTCATACCGTTGGCTCTCTTAGTTCTCGGGTCTTCCAACTCAGACTAGAACTACACCATCAGCTCTCCTGGGTCTCCAGCTTGCAGCTGCAGATCCTGGGACTTCTCAGTCTCTATAATTATGTGAGCCATTCATGTGTATGTGTGTCTAGATGTGTGTATATATATAAATATTTTTTAAGCGATATTTTGCATCATTCTAATCAACTTTTATAAAATGAGTAAATCTAAGACAGCATATCCCAACATGTGCTCCATGGAGTATTAAGAGATGTTATATGTAAAAAGGATTCTGTGGTCAAATCAGTTTGGAAAATACTGTAGAAAACTCTTTGCTTAAAAAAGTAGCATCCATGGGGCCAGCTCCGTGGCCGAGTGGTTAAGTTCGTGCGCTCTGCTGTGGCAGCCCAGCATTCAGATCCTGGGCGCGGACATGGCACCGCTCGTCAGGCCACGTTGAGGCGGCGTCCCACATCCCACAACTAGAAGGACCTGCAACTAAGATATACAACTATGTACAGGGGGGGTTGGGGGAGATAAAGCAGAGAAAAAAAAAAAAGTAGCATCCTGAGTGATTAAAGGATCAGCCCTGATGACCTAGTGATTAAAGTTCAGTGTTCTCCACTTCAGCAGCCCAGGTTTCATTCCCGGTCTCAGAACCACACCACTGGTCTGTCAGTAGCCATGCTGTGGCAGTGGCTCACACAGAAGAAGTAGAGAGACTTACAACTAGAATATACAACTATGTACTGGGGCTTTGGGGAGGAAAAAAATAGCAGCATCCTTCTCAGAGTTTCTAACATGCTAATGGTTACTGTTACTCTCCATAAATAGAATACAACACACAGTGCATTAGGGTTCTCCAGGGAAACAGACCCAGTAAGATACATATATATAAAAGGAGATTAATTATGAAGAATTGGCTCACATGATTATAGAGACTGAGAAGTCCCAAGATTTGCTGTCTACAAGCTGAAGACCCAGGAAAGCCAGTGGTGTAATTCAGTCTGAGTCCAAAGGCCTGAGGACCAAGGGAACAGATCATGTAAATCCAAGTCTGAGAGCAGGAGAAGACAACATGAGATGTCCCAGCTGAACAGTGAGGCAGAAAAAAAGGGGGCAGTTTTCTCTTTTCTCTACCTTTAGTTCTTTTCAGGCCTTCAACAAATTGGATGATGCTCACTCACATTGGGGAAGGCAATCTGATCTGCTTTACTGACTCAACCAGTTCAAATGCTAATGTCATCCAGAAACACTGTCACAGATAGCCCCAGAAATAATGTTTAATCTAGGCACCCCAAGACCAGTCAAGTTGACACGTAAAATTAGCCATCACATACAGTTTCTTTCTATGGTGAGGAAGATTGGCCTGAGGAAGATTGGCCCTGAGCTGACCTGTGTTACTCATCTTCCTCTTTTTGCTTGAGAAATGTTGTCCCTGAGCTAACTTCTGTGCCAATCTTCCTCTTTGTGCTTGAGGAAGATTGTCCCTGAGCTAACATCTGTGCCAGTCTTCCTCTATTTTGTATGTGGGATGCCACCACAGTATGGCTTGATGAGCAGTGTGTGGCCAGCACCTGGGATCTGAACCCATGAACCCTGGGCTGCCAAAGTGTAGCACACAAACTTAACCATGACACCACCGGGCCAGCCCCAACACATAGTTTTTTGCCAAAAATTGTTCAATCACAGAACCAATCTATTTATAATTGAGGGAGAGGAAGGGCTAGCATTTGTAAAATACCTTTGGAAAAGGTGTTTCTAGATTCCTTGATTTTTAATGAATTCCCTTCTCAGCCTACAGCATCCTTGGTGCTCTGGCAAAGCACTGGAATAAATTTGATAAATGTCATTGATTGAACATGTTCTCTTTATAATCTAGCAAGTTGCCAATCGGCAAGGAATTTCAGTTGGCAAATGGCAATATGAATTATTGTAGTATTTTTCTTCAGTTTTATATAAACTTGCAACACACTTTTGGCCTGGGCCCCGATCATTATTTAAGCTTTCTGTTGATCATTCAGGAAAACACTCTTTTCTCTTTTCTACTTCATTAGTTTCTGCCTTTATATTCATTATTCCTTTCTTCTGGGTTTCTTTGGATTATTTCCTGTTTGTTTTTTAATGTTTGAGTAGGCTGGTTATTTCACTTACTTTCATTCTTTGTTTTTTTATTGATCTAAGAATTTAAGGCTATTAACATTCATCTTAGCACAGCTTTAGCTGTATCCCTTATGATTTATAGTGTTTTTGTTGTTTTCTCAAAATATTCAAATTTTGGTTGATATTTTCTCTTTGACCAAAAAATTGTGTGAGAGATACATGATGGTGGTGATATTTTTAATTTCCAGGAAGAAGGGTCCTTCTGGATTTTGCTGTTGTCATTCATTTCTTTTTCTTTTCTTCTTCTTCTTTTTTGTTTCTTGTTTTGTTTTGTTTTTGCATTCTGGAATTATTAAGGCTTTTTTTCCCTGGCTTTATTGAGGAAAAAACGACAAACGAAATTGCAATATATTTAAAGCATACAGTATGATGATTTGATGTGTATACATTGTGATATAATTCCCACAATTAAGTTAATCTATCATCTCACATAGTTACCCTCTTTTCTTTGGTGAGAACATTTAAGATCCACTATCTTAGCAAATTTCAAGTATATGCAAGACAGAATTATTGAATGTAGTCACTGTGCTATATATTATATACCCAGAACTTACTCATCTTATAACCGAATGTTTGTACTAACCAACATCTCCCATTTCCCCCACCCTCCTAACCCTGGCAACCACCATTATTTCTATGAGTTTGACTAATTTTTTTTTCAGATTCCACATATGAGTGATCCCACACAGCATTTGTCTTTCTCTGCCTGACTTATTTCACTTAGCATAACGCCCTCCAGGTTCATCTACGCTGTCACAAACAGCAAGATTTCCTTCTTTTTATGACTAAATAATATTCCATTGTACATATATACCACATTTTTTGTATCCCTTCATCCATCAACAGACACTTCGGTTGTTTCCATATCTTGGCTATTGTGAACAATGCTGCAGTGAACATGGGAGTACAGATATCTATCTCTTTGAGAGAGATTTCGTTTCCTTTGGATATATTTTCAGAAGTGGGATTGCTGGATCATATGGTAGTTCTATTTTTAATTCTTGAGGACCTTCCATTCTGTTTCTCATAGTAGCTATACCAGTTTATATTCCCACCAACAGTGTACAAGGGTTCCCTTTGCTCCACATCCTCACCAACATTTGTATCTCTTGTCTTTTTGATACTAGACATCCTAACAGCTGTGAGATGATAACTCATTGTGGTTTTGATT